TACGCAGACGTACGTACATATATACGTACATATGAAGCCAGGGATGCACCAGCAGAGGGATCCTCCAATTATGAAAAAGCCTCAGCAACATACGCCAACGTGTAGATACTGATCTTTTTCCTGCCAAATGCACCCGCCGACTATATACGGACACAGCTAAGTATATAAATATATATATATATACATATATATATATATATATTCAAGCGTATACGCGCGTGTATGCGTCTCTCCGAAAAGCCATATGATGTGCTTGTGTGATGTGCTTGCAATTCTGCTTCAGCTGGAGGAGGCGATTGAGTCGCTGCAGCAGCAGCTGACGGCGAGACCCACGCAACAGAAGATGGAAGCTCTGCAGCGGCAGCTGCTTCATCTACGAGTAAGCAACCACGACTATAGGCCACTTGCATTACTTCTCAATGATTAAATACTGTGCTCCTGGCATGATTCTTGATTCTGCTGCTGTTACTGCGCGAAACAGACGTGGCTTCTGCTGTTTCTTCGCCTCTTACCTGTTGCGAGTCCGCTCCTGTCGCTGCTGCTGCTGCTGCTGCCAAATTCATGTAGCATCCTCGCGATCACGCCTTTCTTTCCTACCGCTGGTTCTACCGCTGCTTTTTGCTGCTGCTCCTGTTGCACTGCCGCTGCCCCCCAGCAGCTGTCCTGCTGCTGCCGCTCTTGCTGATTCCGCTGTCCCGCTGCCGTTGCTTTTACTGCTGCTGCTGGCGCCCTGGCGTCGCCGTCGCTGCTGTTGTTGCACTGCTATTGCTGTCCCGCTACTGTCGTTGCTGCTGTTGCTGGTGTCCCGCTGATGCTGCTGTCGCTGGGGCCCTCGTGCTGCCGCTGCTGCTGCTGCTGGCAGTCTCCCGCAGCAGTACAGCAGTGCCGTCTTCCCTGCCGTTGTTCAACGCTGTGGCAAATACTACGTGTTGCTGTCTTGGTGCAGTACGTGTCGCCCCGTGGGTGCTGCAGCTGCAGGGGTCGCAACATCCGGGATACATATGGTATACGTGTATAAATATATATATATATATATATATAAGCATGTACGTATATGTGTGTATACATATATATGTATATATATATATATATACGTCTGCACAGTGTATATACATAGCCCTGCAAATTCCTTTCTTTCTTCTCGCCCCCTTGCTGTGTATGAAGACGCCACTGTAGTGGTTCCTCACGCTTTTTGCTGCTACCGACGTGGCCGCTGCGACTGCGGGTGATGCTGCTGCTGCTGCTGGGGTACTCCTTCACGTGCCCGCATTCGTATACGTATGCTGCTGCTGCTGCTGCTGCTGCTGCAGTCGCCGCCACTTCAATGTATGCTGCGTTGCTTTCTGCATCTGCCGTGAGCAACTGCCTCGCTGCACCAGGTGCACACAAGTGCCCGTTAGATTTGTTGTATTGATAGAGACAGGCAGCAGAGAAGAGGGAAAATGACTAGCATGCATATATATATATATATATATATATATATATATTCGTCAGGATAAATAGGCTGCGTGAACAGAACGACATATATATACATATATACATATAAATATATATCATACATACGCATAGGTGCGTACTCGTCTTACCTTGGCAAAAAGCAGCAGCAGCAGCAGCAGAAGACAGACAAACAGGGAGAAAAAGAGACCTGTAGAGGAAGGCGAATATACAGATGTGCAGAGACAGAGGCGAAGGCAGGCGGAGAAAGAGACATAGGGAGGAGGAAGCGGTGGACCGTACACATATACGTATATATATGTATATGTACATATATATATATATATGTATTTATGTACATATATATATATATATATGTGCAGCGAGATGGATGTTGATTTTCTTGGTTTACAGGAAGAAGCGGCAGATAAGAGAAGGAACGCCTGGCGCTGTGCAGATTCCAGAAGCCTCATGAGAGAAGACCGCCGCCGCTTTGCTCGGGCGCGCTGCTGCAGCAGCAGCGGCAGCAGGAACGATGTACATGAGAAAGCGCAGCTTCTCGAAGTAAGTTGCTGCCTATTCCTCGTTGGTAGAAGGCAGCAGCGGCTTATGTATGCATAGGTATACATAGTTGTATACATATGTTTACCTATATACACATATACGTATGCAGTAACGCGGCTACCTCCCGGTGGAGAAGATACAGAAGTTAAATCCAGAAGCGTGCAGCGCGGATGTTTGAAGTAGGTCTCCGCCTACTTCCTGCTGTTGATAGAAGGCAGACGCGGACATACTTCTAAAGACATACATATGTACACATATGCACGTATACTAGTGCCGGTACCTTCGGGTGGAGGAGACCATCATACAACCGTATTTCTGCCCGGAAGTCTGCATCCGTACACATACGTATGTGCGCACATACCTGTAGATATGCCGCGCTTTTGGCTGAGTTAGTCTTTCTTTGTCTGCAGGCCTGCAGCCCCATACACGTATGTACATATATGTACATACATACGTACATACCTACGTATGTGTATGTATATGCATGTGTATGTGCATGCATACCGTTGTATATGCCGACTACGTGAATTAGTATCTGCTTGTCTGCGCGTCTGCATCTATAAATTTACATGTGTACACAAATATTTACATATTCGGAGTTCTTGCCGGTATTAGCGGTCATCTGGCCGTGAGTCTGCATCCGTATAACTATGTAGATACGTATATATATGCATATATACATATATATATATATGTACATACACAAAATTCTGCATGCACTTGTTTATCGCTATACACTGGTTGTCAAGCGACAGTGTACGCCTATCTCTCCTGTTGACATATGACAATGAATGTTTCGCGCACACGCTACCCGAATGGTGCAGGCACCACCCCCGTTTCACTCTTCTTTGTCGTATTCTTCTTGTTCTTCTTCTTCGGCTTTGGATTCTTCCGGAAGGGTCTTCCTTGCGCAGCTACTGAGCATGCCTGCAAGGGCACGAGTGGCTTTGGAGAAAGCTGCTGCATCGATGCCGCGCCTGCCACCGCCTTGCTGTTTCTTTCTTCGCTATACATGACTAGACGCGTCATGCTGCTCTCTCTGTAACACGGTAGACGGAGATATATATGTCGTGTACATGCGCACGCGAATACGCCGATCGTGTCTTGCTGCTGCACCGGGCGCTGCTCACCATGCTGCTGCGTCCGCTGCTGTGTGTTGCTGCTGGTGTGCTTTGCTGCCCCTGTGCGTTGCTGGTCCTTCCGCTGTGCCTCGCTGCTGCTGCTGGGCTGCTTGACATGCCGCGCGCAGGATTGCTGCAAGGCACTCCACTGCGTAGACGGTCGCGCCTTGCTGCAGCAGCTGCAGGACTTTGCCGAGTGCATGCGACGGCGGGTGCCGTTCTTAGAGCTATCCTTTGAGGTGAGCCGCGTCTTTGCCTACCACGCGTACTATATATATATATATTTATCCACTGTGGTCCCCTTCCAGTGTCGTACATATATACGTATATATATAGGTATGCTGTGATCACCTTCCAGTGTTGTATATATATGTACGTATATACGTGTGTCTGTATTTGCATTTTTGCGCGGGTGTATGGCTACGTGACCGCTAGTCTATTCTGAAGGACGCCTTATTGGGAGAGAAACATATTGAGGCTTCTTTATTGAAAAGCAAGGAAACATTCTGGCCAGCGTGCCGGCATCTATGTACCGCAAGGAGGCTTTATGTCGCATGGTATCTTTTCTTCTTGCACACGCTTTACATATACATTTATGTATAAATATTCGTACACACATATATATATATATATATATATATATATATATATATGTATATATATGTATATATATGCACGACAGGAGTAGCGCCGTGGCATGGTTGCGTGCGCCGCGCACACGTGTTCAATAATGTACCGAGCAGGAGGCTTTTGAGGAGGATAAACCGTGACGGCTTATTTACTGAGAAGAAAGAAAGCGACATATGATGGCATGCACGCATTCGCCTCTACATAGTATAAGTAGCCCTAGTTTCTATTGGTATCTACCTCTATCAGATCCGCGCAACACGTCGTATCCTCATGTTTGTTGTGCGGAGACGCCGCTGGCGCACGAGTACAGATATTCGTACGTATACAGTTATATGGGCGTGTGAACAGGTAACCTCAGCGTGGGCGCTTGTACAGAGCCTTGGAGTACCTACAGCATATAAGCGGCTACCGCCTGCGGGTGGCCATTGGTCTACTGGCCCTCAAATACGCCTCGGTGTGTACACGTATGCACACATACATACACGTATCTGTAACTTCTTTTTTCTTCTTCCGGAAGAGTATACATAGATATGTGTATAGCTATATGAACTTATATATTAATGTGTGTGTGTTTGCAGTTTCTCTTTCTTTTTGTCCTGGGATATCCGCCGTGGCCGCCGCGGCCGTCTCCCGACGCCTTCTCTCACGCGGATGATCTGCTGTCTCGTCTCCTTCAAATGCGGATGGCAGAGGCCGCGGTAAGTGCCCGAACCACGAAGGGGCGCGGGGTCTCTTGTCCCTTTGTAAACAGTCCCAGCACGCTAACGGATAGCAGCAAATTCACTGATACGTGGCCTCTATAATGATGTCGTACATACGTGTACTTATATATGTATATATATATGGATACATGCATATTTTGTGAGTCCAGGTATTTCATTTGTCTGCGATTTTTAGATTTCTGTACCTTAACGTATGGCGAGGCTACGGTCACTCGCGGAAGTGATGTTTCTTTTCTGCTTGTGACCGGTTCATAAAAGAAAGCTAGCGCTTTCTTTTGTGACCCCCCTAGCAGCTGTAGCGCTCTACACGTCTGTTCCTCAGCATATGTAGGCCTCCGCCGTCTATGCCGGATACATGCATCGTAGCTGCACGTCTGTGCGTACCTCCCGCAACATCTTCACCCGCGTACTCCTCTGCTTATATAGACGTATATGCACATATTCGCATCTGCATGTTCTCTCTATATATATACATGTAGGTTGTTGCAGCGGCGTGGAGCCCTGACGACGCCTGCTACCGATAGATGTGCGCCTGTGCCCCGTTGAGGATACACACCTGTACCTGTCAGTGGCCTCTGCATATGTGTACCTACCCTTTCCTACACTCGTGTCTAGTCTTTTTGCTGCCAGGGTTGCTATAGAGACTGTTGCTAGAAAGTCACGCCGGCGACTGTTGTTTCTTTGTTGGACTGTGCTTCTGCTCTGCTGCAACTACTTGCATATCTGCTACAGATGCAGGCAGTACGTTCACGACGACAGCTGCTGTTGCTGGACGGCAGCAGTGCTTGTGTGTTTGAGAAGGAGGAAGCAGATCTTGTGCAGCGTCACTTGCAGCAGCTGCGGCATCTGCAGCAGGAGCAGCTACGAGAGAGCAGCGACAATATGAGCAGCAGCATGCTCCTCGCAACAGCGAGAGCAGAAGCGGGGTCCGTTAGGGGTGGAGGAGGAGAACAGAAGAGGGGAAGAGAACGTGCAGCGCGACAGCAGCAGACACTGCAGCTGCTGCAGCAGCAACGCGAGGAGTTGGTGGCCTTGTCTCAGCGACGGGCAGCTGCAGAGGCAGCAGCTATGGAAGAGGCACACTGGCGGCAGCATCGGGAAACTCAAGAAAACAACAGGTCATCCCCAAAGGGAGACTTTTCGCCAGAGTTGCTGCTGCTACCAGACGTGCTCAAGCGCCGATGGCCGTCCTGTTCTCTGCAGCAGTGTCTTAAGAATCTCAGCAGTTTCTTCTCTCGAAGTGATGCTCTCACTCTTTTTTTCAAAGAGTTGTGTCATATCCTCCAGATTGATGCGCCTACGGCAACTTTCGCAGAGGTAATAGCGAGCTCTTTTCTTCATACAGCAGCACATAAGTCGCTCTTCTATTAAGCGCCGAAGTACTATTCCTCTCCATACACCAGCGTGCTCACCACTCTTCTACATACACCAGCATCCATATCCCCCCTCTATATGCGCCCACGCACACACGACCCTCCTTTTTTCCCCAACATACGCACCATCCTTCTGCATACAGCAATATACACACCTCTTTCTACATACACCAGCATTCATATTCCCCTTCTGCATGCTCTCACCTACACACCACCTTCCTTGTTACCACCAGCAGACACGCCCCACCCTTCTGCATACAACGAGGTACAGACCTCTCTTCTTTTTACCGCCGATATAAGCGTTGCCGTTCTGCACACATCCACGTACACGCTACCCTCCTTTCTGCCACCGCCATACACACCACCCTTTTGTATACAACAGTATACACCTCAATCTTCTGCATACACCCGCGTACGTACCACGCCTCTACGCGCAACAACATGCGAACCAGCCTATGCATACAACAACATACACACTCCCCTCCTTGCCACCAACATACAGCAACCCTTGTACACACATCCCTGTGAACACCGCCCTTCTGCATGCACCCGCATACATACCACCCCTCTACACGCAAGAATATGCAGACCATGCGTCTACTTACAACAGCATACGAACCAGGCTTTTTCTTTACCAGCAGCATGCACCCCACGCTTCTCCACACACCAGCGTACTCACTGCCCGTCCCCGTGCGCCGGCGTACGCTCCATCCTCAGAATACACTGACGTACACGCCGACCTCCTTTTCGCCACCAGGATACACACGGCTTCGCATACAACATCATACATGCCACGCTTCTTCATCCTACGCAAATTTCCCGCCTTTCTACCAGCAGCATCCGCCGCCCTTCTACATGCACCAGCGTACAATACGCCCGCCTAAGACACCCACACGCGCTATACACCCTCCTTGGTAGTACCAACACCCCCACCAATCCCCCGCGTACAAACTACATACGCACCACCACTTTTTTCTACCACCCTCTTAGAGGTATAAATTTATATATGTGCATGCATATATATATATATATATATATATATATATATATTCTCATATGCGTAGGTATGTATGGAGATCTATATATATATATATATATATATATATACATAGGTGCGTCCCTTCTCCACACGCTGACGTACACTCCCCGCTTCTCGGTCCAAAAACGTACACAGCAATCCACTCCGTACACCAGTATACGCACCACCCCTTCCTCGTACAAATGCACACATGCCCCGCTTCCCGGTACACCAGCTTCCACAGCACTTTTCCCGTTGCTTTCTTCATACCAAAGCGTACATGCCCCGCTTCCCAATACACCAGCTTCGCAACGCCTTTCCCGTTGCCGTCCTTCATACACAGGCATGCATGCCCCGCTTCCCGATGCAGCTGCTTCCACAGCACCTTTCCCATTGCCCGCGTCACACATGCCAGTGCACTGCTGTGCGATATCCTTGATGCGCCTAAAGGAACTTTCGCAGAGGTAAGAAGCCCCTCAATACTACTCCTACTACTATTACTACTCTTACCACAACTACCGCTGCGTCGTACACGCCAGCGCTAGTCCCCAAAAATACGCCGCAGCGCTTGTTTTTTCTCTTACACCAGGTACGCACCACCCTTTTTTGCAGGTGCTGCAGCCGACAGCCTTCTTCAAACGCCAGCGTACGTCCCCAACTTCTTACCACACTGCACAAACAATGCTAGTTTTGGCGTCCTCCCGCCTGCTGCCCGGACATCAGCGCCGACGGGTGTAGGGAGCCACGCAAACAGCCTTCGTGTTCGTCTGCAGTATTACGGGCCATGAGGCCACATGCAGCTGCTTGCAACGGTCTTCTGCTGAGGATCGACCCGACGGTATTCCAGGGGCTTCGTATCTCCGGCAGAGCGCCTGGCAACAGAAGCTACGCCTATACGTACAGATGTCTACATGTGTATATTTGCAACTGCTGTGGAAGCAAGAGGCAACACACACAGCCTGCGTCTTCATTCGCAGTAGTAGGTCACAGGAGGTCACCCGCAATTGCTTGCAGCGGCTTGTTGGTGACTATACACTAGACAGCGCTCGACGGTTTCTCGTCTCGAACGCAGGTCGGGTGGTGACATGTCTACATATATGCGTATATCTGTCTAAGGATATATACATACACGGTGGCCGCTGCTTTGCTGGTGTACTTGTAAGGACTTTTGATAAAGTGACGCAGACATTCAGAAAGAGATGAAGCAGCACCTAGTGTAGCAAGGATTGTTTGTGGTCCCATCTAGCAGATGAGGACGCCTATACGGGTGTAAAAGATCGGGGACCCGTGGAGGGACTACGTACACGACCTGATGGAGATTACTTGTGAAGTGGGAAGAAGGCAGTGTTCTTCGATCCACATCTCCGCTGTGTAACAAATCCTAGACACTTCTCTCTGAAAATTCGCATATGCTCAAGTCATTACAGCACAGTGAACAGAGAAGGTTTCGCTGGGGTAGACTGTGTCTCTTTCTGCAGGTCGCGCCCTCGGCGAAGCCGACAGACATATATATATATATATATATATATATATATATATACATGTGTATATGCGTATGTGGCTACGCGTTCGCACATGTTATTCCAGGATATTTGCTACATTTGACCGTTCTCAGTAGTAGATTCGCCTGCGGGTATGCACGTATAGCTGCTTGAAGGGATAGCCGCCCAGGCGCTGTCTATGAGCGTCTTCGTCTAAGTGTGTACGCCTGTTTCTGGCGTCTGAAATGTACGTCGACTCTACTGGGTGCTGAAGAACTCTGTGGAAAATACACTACTTAACTTCTACCGGGTGCTAGGGAACTCTGGAAGATACATTACCTGGCTGCTACTGGGTGCTGAAGAGCTCTCTGAGGATTACATGTTTTCACGACCGTGGGTGCTTCCCTTGTAGGATGCGCAGTTCAGGAAACTGCGAATATCACCGTGTACAGAGCCCCGCGCAAACTTTGTGCTGCGTAAATTTACACGCAGACACATGTTGCGGTGTGTTGCTGTAGGTGGAGGCAGTCGTTCTGCGGCTGCTGAAGGAAAATACGCAGCAGCACGCACTCTTACAACAGCAGCAGTCGCTTCTGCAACAGCAGAGTGCACTGCTGTCTTCCTCCTCTCCTCCCCTGCAACACTCCTCCACTGCTGAGGAGCCCAGTACGCTGATGGCTAAAGGAGAAAAAGCGACAGTGGCCGCAGCAGACTCAAATTTGTGCTCCATATCTGTATCTGGAGTAAACGCGGCAACAGTGGCCGCCGACGTGATACCAGCACCCTCAGCAGCTGCTGCGGTAGCAACTGTCTCAACCCTGCAGCAACTTCTGGGCGTCGACCGCACAACTCTCATACTTCCCAAACTAACAGAGTAAGGGCGACGTCTCAGTACAGCGCCAATATGACTGGAGCACTGCACAAGTCATGATGACAGTGCGCGGCATCTGTAGAGACACCAGGGCCATGAAGGAAGGACACAGGAGCATGCATGAGATAGTTGCGCTTCTTTAGAAGCTGCCGCCACTTTTGTGTGCGGCGCCGAGACACAGCAGTACCATTGTTGTGCAGGCAGCAGCAGTTCGTGGCAGCAACTGACGGCGCCACAGCAGCAGCAGCGGCTGTCAGCCGTGTTCAATAGACGGAGCGGCGATACTATGAAGAGCAGCAGGAGGAGCAGAAGCAGCAGCAACAACAACAATAATAGTAATCATAATAGTAAAACCGTACACCAGCAGCTGCTGCTGGCGCTAGTACTAGCTGTACCGCCCGTGGTGCTCTGAATTTTCCCGCTAGATGTGTATCAGGTGCGCGTACCCGGTGTACAGACAAACAAAAACAGCGGTGAAGAGACCGCAGCAGAATCCGCTGATGGTGTTAACCGTGAACAGTCACGTGTCCCCACGAAGGTGAAGATCTGCTGATACGGGATCAGATCGTACATATATGTCATATACATATATATATGTATCTGTATTTTTCCAAGCAGCACCTAGGTGGTTATGCGTGTGCTTGTCCTCAGGATCTTGTGCCGCGTACAGCGGTTGACCAACACACTTCCGCCGTCCCCCGCGGTCACTCACGGGATTCGGTGTAGACGAGCACCCGGCGCTGCAGGTTCCGCGGCGGGGAGACCAGCCGCCGCTACATTATTACTAGGGCCGCCCGAGCAGCTGCACGGAGCGTACAAAATTTTGGAAGGGCAAGAGCTCGCAGGCGATGAGTTAACTTGACTGATTAGGCACATAATCGCCGACGGCTGCATGCATAGGTCTGTAGAGGCCACTTTGCGATCGCTTCGCTATCGCGCGGTTCTGCTGCGCCTTCAATTCGTGTACGCGCGCCGCGTGTGCGTAGGCGGGGAAGCGTCCGACACATCGACAGAATGTAGCAACCGCGTGTGCGTAGGCAGGGAAGCGTCCGACACATCGACAGAATGTAGCAAACAGTCATATGCGTTCTCTCGATTTCGATTGTTGTCAACAAAGTAGGGTCATATGGTGCAAGTCTCTTGTATTACAGGATGTACGCCTTCATATATACGGCGTACGTCCGGGTGACCACGTTCTTGTAAAGTCTTGTTTCATGGCGCGCGAACGTGCGTACGCATATTCACAGAGGCGGTTGTACCCTCTAGGGGCTCTGCCACGGAAACTGCCTACGTATATCTACAGGGGCAATTGTTCTTTTTTGGGGCTTTGCCAAAACGAGCAGCCCTGCGCTTGGGTCCGGAATATGCCAGTCGGCACTAGATGCGAATAATGATACGTTCTCCCACCAGCGGCGTGCGTCGATCGATACAAGCTCTTTATTGGCTCTGGCGTGGTCTTTTCTGATTATAGGCGCTTTGGAACGTATGCCTTGAAAAGCACGGAAGACCTGCACAGGGAGGTGGTCGACAACTCCTGCGTCTGTCCTTCGGCCCCAGCTTGGTGTAGCGACGCCTAGCATAACTGTGTAAATCTGTGCTTGCGGTGGAACGTGTGGTGGGACCGCCGACACTGACGTCGCAGACTTCGCCTTGTTTTGCAATGCTTTGCCGTACACGCTTGGGCGCTGCCGCGAGGAAGGCCCTCACGGGAATTCCTCAACCAAGGAAACACACGGCGTGACTCGCAGGTCGTCGTTTATTCCGACGGTATAGATATATGCACATCTAGGTATACACAGGAAAAGATTCAGCTTCCATAGTGAGACTGTAATCTGTATGTCTTTCCCTATATTGGCCGCTGCTGTCCTACACAGACCGCCGGCCTAGGAAAACCGAGGGGCTCCAGCGCTGGGAGAAATGAATACTCGCGTTGTGGGCATATGCATCGCAGAATGCGGCTAAAGGTGCAACTGCTTAGGGCAGCACGTGGGGTGTCTTCTTCCTTACTTAAGCAGATGTTACATCTCCTCAGAAGGGGGGGCCGCTGTAGTTGCTGGCCTCGTTCCGTGGCACTGCGTATCCGGCCATTGCTCTAGAATTTACTCTTCTACGTTCTGGCGTTTTCCAAAGTCTGCGGCGATCATCTTTTGACGCTTACACTTACTCCGGGAACTAGTGGAACCGGGGACTGCTGAGATACTGTCAGGATGCGCGGGTAGGCGCAGCAAGGCGTAGTGACTGGCCGACGGCGTTGGCAAAGAAGGTTTATGAGGAAGGCTACACCACCGCGCCCACTAGGCAAAGCGGGAGAGTGATGACTGATCAATACAAGGGTACATCACCATGCTCACTAGCCGCGGCAGAAAGTGACGGCCTACCAATGGCGTTTTCAAAGAAGCTTTCCAAGAAAAGGTACAGGAACGCGCGCTTCAGAAAGCGCAGCAAAGAGTAGACGCTGTTTACGGCGTGTCTAAGAATCTCTATAAAGTGTCCACCGCCATGCTCAGCAGGCTCCGCAAGAGCGATGACTAGTCACCAGAGAGTACTCCAGTATGACCAGGAAGCATACGAGGAGAGTTATGACCGTCAACAGCCACTCCAGAAGTTTTATGAAAAAGAGTACACCACGCTGTTCTGTAGGGCATGACAATGAGCGATGCCTGATCAACGGTGTTTCACAAAAGCCTTACGAGGAAGGGTAACCTTGCAAGGAACGGTACACGACAGCTGCCACCAGGCACAGCAGCGACTGATGGTTGATCAGCGGGGTTTGAAGAAAGTGCCATGAGGGAGGGTGCAAAATCGCGTTCAGTACGCAGAGTAGAGGGTGATGACAGACTATCTTTGGAAAATCATGACAAGGGGTACACCAGCCCGCTTAGTAGGCACAGAAAAGAATGACGACTGGCGAAAACGTTTCAAAGAAGTGTTCGGAGGAACGGTAAGCAACACTTCTCAGAAAGCAGCGAGACGAGGAAGGATACAGTACCTCGCTCAGTAAACGCAGTAAGAGTGCTGGCTAAAGAAGCTCAGTGAAAAAGGATACAGTGCCGTGCGTGCTCAGTAGGCACAGGGGAACCGGTGGTGTGGCCCACGCCCTTTCAAAGAGATCTCGGGAGGAAACGGTTGGCCACCGTGTTCGGTAGGCGCAGCAAAGAGTCACTGCTCACCAATGACGTTTTCAGAAAGCTCTGTCAGGAGTGTACACCACCGTGCTCAGTAGGCACAGCAAAGAGCGACGGTGATCAATGGCGTTTCAGAAAAGCCGTATGAGGAACAGCATACGCACGCGAGGAAATCTTTTCCCGCATGCCCGCCACCGACTAGTGGTCGACAAGGAAAGGTCCCTGCTAATTATCACACGTGTTCGGCTACCAGTAAAAGCCGAAGTCTTGCCTCAGCAGGTGTACGAGGCTACACATGTAGACCAGCGAAAGTTGCAGTTTTGTCTCAGCGGCTGTACAAGGCCACACGTTTAATCCAGCAAAAAATACAGTTTTGTCTTAGCAAGTGTGGACGGCTACGCATGAGCTAGCCAAAGTTGCAGTTTTTTCCCTTAGCCACGGCACAAGGCTGCAGGACGTGAAGCAGCAAAAGGGCACACTTTTGTCTCAGCGGCCCGCACAATACTACGCCTGTGACCCAAGTAGAAAGTACAATGTTGCCTTGACGGCTGCACAGGACTACACACAAGTAGGCCCTATTTGTGTGCAGCACCAGCGGCTGCGCCCACAAGACTTGCTCGTGTACTCGGGAGCGTTCTGCCGATGCGTCGCTTGCTGCGTTTTCAGTCCTGAGAATTCCTCAAGCATAAGCAAGAGGAAAAAGTCTTAGAATTCAGACAGCACGCAGCAGAAGTCAAACGGCAGCGCTCATACGTAAACTCCTGTCTACCGCCGCTTTCTTGCTGTTGCTCGGCTGCTGTTTGCCAGGATAGTAAAGATCTCCAGCACAACATAAAGTAGGCAAGAGACAAAATCACAATGGGAGGGGCGTCTCCTTTGTCCATCTATTCCTCTGTCTCTCTCGTACGTGGGCCCGCGTACGCGTGCGCCTGCGAAGAGTACGTATAGAGGAGTGCGTCAGTGTGACACGCCATTAAGCACCACGTGCGCGTCCAGCAGCAGCAGCAGAGCTGCATGAAGGACAAATGTTTTCTTGTGCCGGGACAGCACTACATACGAACGTACCATACACGAACGTTTCACTGTGTATAGGGACCTGCGATAATCACGGATGCCACCAGACAAAAAACGTGTGTTTATGACGTAGATAGGCGGGAACCAGGGACGATCGCGTCAGGAAAGCGCCAGTTGCTCGTAAGAGGCACGGAACAGCTTCAAGCGTGAAGAAGCTGAAGTCAGGTCTCGTTTACACGCATACACACATACATACAGCGTAGAAAGGTTTTTCCACTCCATAAAGCAGAAGCACGTAGGGCTATCAAATAGACCTGTAGTCTACCGGAGGCCACTGCAGGAAAACAGGAAGGCGGACTGCTATCAAATGGACGTCGAGTCAATCACACGGCACTTTTCGGCGCACGCAGCTTATGCTGGGCGTCCGTTCCTCCTAGGGCTTCACTCGACCCGAATGCCCACGTAGTCTCCCGGGGCATGCTACACGATGGCAGACGCTGTCCTAGCAAGCTGCACTGGTGCTTCAAGATCAACGTGGCAGAGTTCGCCTGCCCGTGACTGCATAATCTCGACCCCGAATGCCCACGTAGTCTTCCGGGGCATGCTACACGATGGCAGACGCTGTCCTAGCAAGCTGCACTGGTGCTTCAAGATCAACGTGGCAGAGTTCGCCTGCCCGTACTGCATAATCCGACACCTACGGCGTCGCGCAGTATCTCCACAGGCGGACGAGGCAACAACGAAGTTTCTCGCGCGTGCGAGAGTCCAAACAGCTGAAGTGAACCAGCAGAGTCGCTGCAATAATGCCGCAAACTACGGAGCACACATTTGCGCTTGTTCTGCGATAGTGTGCGACAATACTCAGTCCGAAAAAGAAAGGCGCATAAGTCAGCGCATTTGCTACGGGAATGCATCAAAGCATCCAGTCCTGCGACAAAGGGGCGCATACAAAAGCAAATTTGCTGCGACATTGTCTGAAAAACGCCCCAACTGGAGGAGAGAGATGCATGCGTCAGCGCGCTTTCTGTGGTGCTGTCTCGACGTGCCCAGTACATGCCTTCTGCGGCATCAGCCCCCGTCAAGCGGAAGGATGCGTCGACACACGGTTGTGTACTTGATATGGCGCATCCGACCGCGCGTTTGAGTCGGCCAGAAGCAAGTATCGTGCTCGTGTCGAACTTATCACCACGCGTCGCCATCCGGTTGTAGATGTCCGTCTACCTTTTCCATCCTGTTTGATCGTACGTGGCCCCTGCATATATTGACTGTCGGCAACGTGTTTTGTTAAATATTTCAGATAGCAAGAGAAAGGACGCCCGGCAGGTGGCATGGGGCTACTCATTCGTAAGCAGGTCTTAACCCGCCAGAAGCAAATCTCAAGACTCACGTCAAAAACAGTTTACTGCACGGCCGTGAAGTTGTAAGTGCGGGTCCACTTTTGTCCTCCTGTTGGGTACCACGTGCCCGCCTTTATATTCGCTACTCGCGGAAGTGTCTTGCGTAATGCCACGTATCGGTGTTTACAGCAGCTGAAAAACCGTGCTGCTTCTCTGGGTGCCTGCCTATTACCAACACTTATAGTGGTGTGTGACAGCCGAGGCATCCTCTCTCCTTGTGCCCTGCGTTCCGTGTTCTCTGGAGAAGTGGCGCCCGTGCCCACCAGATTCTGTCCAGGCCGTCCGCTTCCATGGCACTAGTGCAGTGAACGCGCCATTTTGGCCTGTCTTCCCCGTCTCCACTGTTCTAGACATCGGCATTCGTCTGACGTGTCCGCTCTGTGCGACCCCTTGGCAGTAACACTGACATTAGCCGGTGCGGCTCTAAGCGATGTATCTCGGCCTGCGCAAGCCAGAGCTTACCTGCGCCTGAGCGTGCCCACACAGACAGACGTGGCGGAGATCCACGCCTAGCTCTATCTATTCTCCACAGTATCTACTCCGCATTCCGCACCTTTGCTCTTCCTTGGCGTGCAGGGCTACGGACTCCCGCAGCTCCAGTATGTATGAATGTATACGTATGTATACATCTTTTATATAGTGCCGGGGTAACACAGGAGGAGGAAGAACGTGGTAGTTCCCCATGGTGGAACAGCGGAGCTTTGTGCCAGTGAAGTGCAGAAAAAAAAAAAAGATGCGACGACGCTGTGCTCCAAGCTGGTGTGGTCGTCAGCACAAGTATGCCACACGAACTGGCGCAATATACAAAACACGCCGTACATACACAGACGTGTACATATATATATGTTACATACATATATATGTATATACACACATTTACATCTCGGTCTCCCTCACGTGCTCCGGCGATACTGCCGTCAGCCAGACCCCGGTCACATGCCCCGCTTTCCTCGCCGCCTTTCCACCTCTGGCTGTACGTTTTGTGAATATAAGCTGTGCGGGCTCCGTTGCGTCCTCCTGTTAATTCGCTTGAGTCGGCCTTAACCCTTGCTATCGGGGCACGTGCACCGTTGTGCTCCACTGCATGCTGGCATCTCTCACGATTCTTTCCAAAGGCTTTACACAAAACTCTTAACAGAGGCAGGAAGATTCGGCAACTCTACCTTACCTCCGATTGCTGCTGTGGCCGTCTTCTGCTTGCACCCCTGCGTGTGCATCTCCTTCTTCTAAACATCATTCCCTCCACGCACTGCACCTTCTGCTGGCCCCTCTCTTTTTTTTTGCAGCCGTTGTACTTCTTTATCCCTGTGCATCACCCTCTGCTAGTTTCACGGAGAGCAGCTTCTACGCGGCTTGTTCCAAGAACTGTGCTGCGTCTTCGCTACCACCGTGTTCGCCAGGAAGAAGAGTGCTGGTCTCGTCGTCGGGTGTATCCCCTGACAGGAATGTGGAGTCAAAATGTTGTAAACACACGGTTGACATCTTCTCCCCCCCGTCTGCTCAGAGGGGCCCCCCACTTCTCACAAGAACCCTGTTCTGTTTTTCCTCCAGTTCCTGCAAAGTTTGACGCAATGGTCACGAAGCTCCCAGCGAATCCTAGTACTTTTTGCAAATCTCCGCTGTTGTGCAGGAAGGCCAGCGTGGAAAACACTGCGGCCATCATCCCGAGCAGGAGGGGAAAACTGATATACAGACGAGAACATCCGTAGCACCGGCGGGTACTCGCCTGAGCACAGGAGGCAGTCGCTTGCTGATCACGTGATCATGACTACGGGAAGAAAATAGACCAAGCCCTCAGTGAACATCCCCGGCCTTACCCCCTGGAAGGCCGCAAACGTCATTCGGCAGGCACTTGCAAGAATAGCAACGCACACATATATATGTGTATATCTCTCCCTCCATATATACAACCGTAGTACGCACGCTTGAACAAACATGCACATCTGGGCACACCTACATCACAGAGTGTCCTGCGCCTCCGCAACCCGCCGTCACCTTGGTGGCGGTTCGCACGTACCGAGCTGTCGGTTTTTTGTGAAGCTGTGCCGCCATTGTATTTTCACCTTCATATCTTCTACGTCGCCCCCGCTTCCCGCCTTCCAACATCAGCACAAAAAATGTAATCCTTCCTTCGGTCCTGTGGTGGACGTCCGTTCTCCAGCTGGTTCACCGGACGCAGCACATGCGCTGCAGGTTATTGCTTAGTCGTATCACCTTCATGGCTCACCCTGGAGCCGGAAAAAAATGCTGTGCAGTCTGCTGTCTCAAATCTCGCGGAGCTGTCGCTGCGGCAGGACCACCCCGGCGATGGAAGATAGCCATAGATATACGTGTACACACGTATATGTACGTGTACGTAGGCCACAGGGCCAAATGGCGGGTAAACGTGCAAGAGCAATGAACAGTTTCCCGGCTTAATGCACAAGTCATCAGCACCGTGGAATATGTCCATCTGTAGACGCAAGCAAGTGGAGCTGGCGCGCTTTTCAGACGTGGGCTGGTGGCTTCTCTGCAAATTCGCCCCCGCCGCTGGATTCACCGCACGCCAAGAACACCCTGCCGTCTGTAATCGTCGCTCTGCCAGTGAAGCCTGGGAAGCAGGGGCCCTCCTGCGACAAAGCGTTTCTTTCCTGTCTGCGGGCCGTTTCCCCCGCGTGCACGGCCGTGCACGCGCAGAAAGACAAGGCTCACTTCGGGGATACACGTTGTACTATGGTAGGCAGAAATTTAAACTGAGTAAAGGGAGCAACTTACGCTGCTTCCCCTCAGCCAAAACCAGGCCATGGCGCTACAACAGGAACTGCGAAGGGACCACACACCATTTCTAGTGCATGGAATCGAAACGTATTCGTCTATACTAGCTGCTATGTATATAAGAAAGAGATTCCGTTATACAAATATACCTGTACACGCCTATGTAGATACGTCTGTACGCTCATGTATGTATATATACGGGATTGCTAGAAAACTGGTGCAGTCACCTGTTACCAGTGGATCTCTGTGAACAGCCGGCGCGCAATCTCGGGGCGTACCTGCGCAGAAGACGTAGTACCCGAGTGTCGAAGAACAGTCGATCGTCTCTTCATCGCTCAAACGCTCGAAGCCGCGGGAGGTGCACATAAACGGCAAGTCGATCTTTGGCTGTGATCCGTACGCGGGAGTCGGTGTCGCATATCTCCTCCCGCCTGCGCACTCCAGGTCTGCACGGAAGCTAGGGCCTCCTCGGAGGCGCAGGGGGCTGCCTCCGAACGGGCACTCACAAGCTCCCATACTGTAGCAAGGCAGGAATGCGGCAACCCACCGTTGCACTTGAAAAGCACCCGCGGAAAGGTTTATGGGTGGTGTAAAGCAATTTTCTCTTGCACTTCATAAACACCAATATGGTACCACCCGAACAACGACAGGGCCGCTGTGAAACAGTGAGAAATGGTGCGAAAAAGAGTAGCAAGTCAGTACTGCGGTGTGAAAAGCGCCGACTCCAAGGGCGGACGTGCACGTATGTCCCCCCTTCATATACACTAGCATGTTTGTTGATCTCTATTCCTTGTGTCGTCTGCACTGGATATCCGGTCGCGCCCGCTACTCGCCCTCGTGAGCAGTTTCTTCCAGTCCGCGGCAACAAGCGAGTACGATCCTACTAATAGCGTGAATTATACAACGCAGGTGGGACAACCCGGGGAACTCAACAAATACATGATCGATTTGTAGCGTTCGGTTCCGGATGTGTACATATATATATATATATATATACGGATTCCTGCATGTATATACATATGCGTGTATATATAAAGATACATGCAGGCGACGGTCCATATACTTGTGGTCTTCATCAACCGTTTCCTGAGGCGCACATACGGCTGCAGTTTTGTCGTTCACCAGCATAATAAGCAGCGAAAGCTGGCCTAGGAGGACAAGACGAGCAGGATGCATTACTGTTGTTGTAATTTTCACAGAGTAGATAGTGTAACAAGACGCTGTGATTTCCAGCCACATGCGTACATATCATCGAGCGAAGATTGCGTCCAGATAGACGGCCGGAAAGCAGACGCTAGCGCGCGCAGATCCTACACCGAATGCAGCTGCAGTGCGTCGTGCGGGCAAAGTGGGCGCGGCACGACATTGTTTTCTCTTCCTGCTGTGTTATAGCAGAAGCGATTGACTGCACCTCTGTGCAAATCACCCAAGCCCAGGCACGTGCTGTACAGGAAACTAAGAAATCTGCTTTCCTGCATATCAGAAGGGTCACAATCGACTCTAATGGAAGTGTTGTCGCAAACGACAATGCAGATCTACTATTTGCATCCTAGAATACAAGGAGATCGAGAATTCAAGAGCACAGAACAGGCAGGCAGACCACGCTGATGTACAGTTGAAAGCGTAGGCGCCGCGTCTCTCGTGGACGGGTGTATTCTTTAACAAAGGTTGCTTGCAAGACAGGGCGCGTCAGAAATGCGGACATCATGCGCCAGCAAGCTCCCCCAGGGTGTCCTTACTCTAGCGGCCTGCGCTCCAACGATGGCAGGACGATTGCAGGTTCATTGTAGGGGGACTTGGGAAGTGAGGCTGCTGAGCCCTTACAGACACTGGCTACCAGCAAACAAACGACGTTGTAAATGAGTAGTCGGGCGTTCACAGGGGCTACGGGACAGTCAACAGAGCGAATAAGGCAGACGCTCCTTTTGGAGGCGCGAACGACTCACTACTTTGCTGCGCTCGGCCCTAGAAGCGGCACCGATGAAAATGTTGCAGATATCAAATTCACCCAGTACTGTACTATACTTTGCGGTCGGCGACAGAAGTCGCGTATGCGGGCCACCACACAGGCACGAATGAGTCAACACTCTGCTGTAACCCGCTGGGGGCTTTAGAGAGCTCGTATACGGATTCCCCAAACAGGCATGAATGACTTACTATTGCACTGTAGTCTGTGCTCCGCGCTAGAAAGCGTAAGTGTGGGTCTGCGACATAGCACGTTGTGCTAGATGTTGTTTCGACGGCCTCCTCTCTAGGCGGGTATTCGCTAGACCACGGCGCAAAAAGAGGCTCCGAACGCGGAGACACGCCGTATATAGGCTTTTCCAATTCTCCTGCACGCCAACGTATACATAGAAACGTCCGAGGACGGTGACTTGTCCGAGACGGACTTCGCGCCACTTCAGGCGCGTTTGCGAATCGCCATAAGTAGTGCTGCGGTAGCAGCAGCAACGCACGCAGCAGGAGCTCTATCAGACTAGTAATAGGAACAGCCGTACTGAAAAGAAGACCAGTGACAATAGCAGCAGCGGTAGTGGTGGCAGCGGTAAAAGTAGCAGCAGCAATAGCATAACAGTAGCAGCACCGGCAGCAGACCGTGTAACAGCAGCAGTAGCGCTGGCAGCAAATCCTCGAGCAAGGCCAGCGGCACCGCCCGTGGCAAAGAAGCGAGTGAGTGGAAACCACGGAACAATATTTAGCAACGACGCAGAGGAAGCAAGAGAAGAACGCAGCTGCTGAACGTCTGCCGCGAGGCCGTGCACCGTGTTCGGGCCGCGGTCTTTCAAGCCGATCGAGTCACGTGAAGCCACATGAGTCCGCGGGCGTGACGTGTAGCAGCCTCACGAAAAGATTCCTTCTCTTCTTTTTGCAGTCCATTACATGCCGCGCGATCCACGCACGATGTGGCCGCTGTACGACGCTTTACCGCACATGCTGTTCGCTTGGGCAATTCAGGGTACAGAACTGGATTGACCACTGCCGGAGAAACCCGGGCAGTACACGTCGTGAATGCAAAAGCCTTGCGTGTTCAGCATTTTTACGCCCTTGTGGCGACAGGCGGCCGCAGTGCTCGAGTTTCCACGGCATGTGCTTCCGCCTGTGCTTTCACGGCGCTTGCCCCCTTGGACCATGCTCTTCCGGTACGACGAATCAGGTGCAAAACTATGCGGCTTACGTGGTCTGCCTGCCAACGGTAGGGAGGCGCGTAGCGCATTCCTTGTGTGCACTTCGTGCATCCTGCGACTACACAGAATGACGCTGTACATGCGCACGATCGTGCAATAGCGGGGGGCAATACAGTCCCTGCTTCTGACGGGACCAAAGGAATTATAAGGCCGCTGCGGCGGCTACAAAAAGCGAAATTCAGGAGGCGCGTTGGTGTCATACCGGGGCAGGGAGTTAAGTGTACGCAGCTTTCTACCTCAGTTGTTCCTGCAGGGACAACGAACAGTCACAGGGCGCAGCGACACACGGACAGCTCTGCCTTGTGTGCATGTTGATTGTATTCCTAGCACAGCTGAACATCTGCTGCGCCATCATCTTGTACAGCAGCAGCACACCAAGACGAGCGGAAACGGCCTGCGGCAAGAACAACCGCAGTTGTACTAGTTGTGGTCGTCCCGCAGGGCACGTAACCTGTGCCCTAGCGATAGACGGGTGTCTTAAGAGACACTCGAAATGAGTGGGGTCACGGAATTTTTTCTCATACGCTTAGCCCGAGCAACGCGGCGGCAGAGCAGTTAGGGGACAGACCTCTCTTATGCCTTTTCTGACGAGTTGGGCGAAAGCTGTGTGTGAGGGGTATACGGAGGGTGTTCGGTGCCCCACGGCCAGTACCACACAAACAACAGGCGATATAGTCAGAAACAGACAAATATAGATAGCTGCAGACAGATATATAGCTACAGACAGACAAGAGTAGCTATAAACAGTTACGGACAGATTCGAAGACACACGAAGACGCCAGGTGCCGCGTTTCCTTCAGCTCCGTTTCCGTACGGCGCCACTTGCAAACCAGTGGTGGGACGCGAATGATGACATCGTTACACGCAGGAGCTAGGCAAAGCACCCGGATGCAGTGCGTGGCTATGCCTTTGGCCAACCACAGAAAGATGCTCGATCTCCACGCGAGGGCGGCGACCTACTGAACTCTTCTCGATTTCCGCAGCTCTGGAAATTTGCATCCGAAGGCGCCAGAAGCTTCCGCGAGCGCACGCGCAGTGCCGTTTCTGTTCCCCGTCTCATAGCACCTGTCAAGCCCAGAGGGGAAGCCACGAATTCAGCACACTCGAAGTTTATGCGCGGAGTGCGTGCTCTCGACTAACGCTTGTCTGAGTGCAAAAGGGCATCCGCGTGAATGTACGTACACGCAGTTGTGCCTGTTCCTGCGGCACATCTCCAGTGATGTCTGGGCTGCGCAGAGGCAGCTCGGTGCAAGCGCTCAAGTGGGCACATACCGGAGACAGGCAGTATGCGCGTGCAGCGCGCGCATACCGTCGACTTCCTCTATATACGTGCAGCGTGCTCATGACGTGTACTCCTACGTATATATGCGGAGCGCACACATATCGAAGATTCCCTTTCCGCATATGCAAGCGCACACAAGCCCCACAACTGCTACACCTGTGTAGACATCACAAAGCGGGTACTTTGTTGGCAAAGCCCCTCCGTCCTATAGTGCGAGAGGTTAAAGCTGCACGTTCTGCTTGCTTCGCATGCATGGAGCGTTATATCAGCGCGTGGGAGCACGATCTGCGATCTCTGGCTCCCCTGAGCGACCAGCGGAAAAATTTTGTCTCCCTGACATGCTATTGAGGCATCACTGCTGCTCTTCTCTGTGTAGATCAGAACTCGCTGCGCTTCGTAGGAGAATGCAGCCCCTGATGCGGAGGCTCAAAGTACACCAATGTACCCAAGACAATCCTCTGTGTTTTCATAAGGTGGCGCCGCGAATGAACAGCCGGCTTATTAGATGCCGACTACTGGAAGCACTCAGCTGTGTTCTGCATTGCGTTCAACCGGTTTGACATCGGGCGGCGTCGCAGCACATCAGACACCCTCCCTGATAACCATAAGATTAATTGGTCCGTATGGATGCAACGTGCGGCCGGACACCATATGCGTAGATTGTCGAGGGTGTCCCCTCAGGAGGAGTATCTTCTAAGCCTTATTATTCGTGTACAACCAAATAGTACGCATGAGCTTACTATGGAATGACTTCGTTATATAGTCCGTGTGTATATATATGTATGCATATATAAATATATAACATGTCTTTATACGAGCATATGTATGCATAGGTATAGGAGTGTAACTGAATGGCTCGCTACGCTCGTGAAGGCAGTTGTGCGGGGTGCGGCACCTGAACTCCTAAAAGACCGCCCAGCTTACTGAACACGAATCTCCTAGACTCCGCTGGCCGTCCCTTCTATTTTGCGCTTCCAAATTTCTTCAATAATGGTCACATTCGACTCAGAACGAAAAAATTTGTGCTCCTGCGCGCGGTGGTCTCTAGTAGACACATACACGTATATAATAAGTCCACGTGGACGTACGTAGGTAGGTGTTCCTCTCTTTCCTTGGCAATGCAGGGCCACTTTCGTACTCGAACAGAGTTTATTGGTGGTGAAACTTACGTGGCAGTGCACGCACTCCACCTCTCCCCATTCCGTCACTCTGCAGTCATTTGCTTTTCCTGCAGCATGACGAACACCCGACAGTGCAGCATCAGCAGCGGCTTCACGGCTCCGTAGTCTCGCTTTAATAGCCGCACCACAGCGAGATAAGCGACAGGTTGCACAACAGCAAAATCAGAAGAAGCACATGCAGTCTCAGGTGTCCCGTCCCTTGCTTTCGAAGCGAGAATAAAGACTGCTGGGAGCCCTGTACCAGTGGCAGACACGAGAGAATGCAGAACACACAAGAAGTGTTGCCTACGTGTGTGTGGGTCTCTTTGGATACGGTGCCGGCGATTTCAGGAGACTACGTAGGCTCTATCTGAGCTCTGTACATGAGAACGCGGCTGCTCAGCCCCTTCTCAGCTCCGCTGGAAAAAAAGTACCTATTTCTCCGTACGCAATGAATAAAGCCTCTTCGATCTACTTCGCAATACAACAAGGGTCCGCGAGCGCGCGTGGCAGCTGAGGCACGTGGTAGATCCCGTACTGTGCTTCAAACCAAACATACGGAGATGAGTACGTCGTCCCCGAGCAATCATCCCTCGACGTGAAGCGGAAGCTATGCAGGAAAATGCCGTTCCTGAAAAGGCCTGCCTGACTCTGCTTGTTATGCAAAGACGCAGCTGAGGCTCTTGCTTGGTGTGGGTTCACGTAACGTCTCTATGCGCGCCGCGCCCGCCGCCTGGCTCACGAAGCCCACGCTCCCAACTCCGAATGAGAAGTTGGCCCTACACTTGTGTACAGCTTGTCTATCTAGCTACTCCTAAACGGTACATCCTAGTGAGATCACGGAAGCAGTTCAGGGCCTGGGTAGCGCGTAGGGATGCATCTAGAACCCGGTGCAAAGTAGACATTGCCGCGTAAATCGCAATCAGTCTGGGCTACCTCACTTTGCTTGCCAGTACGCCGTAGGCAACATAAAAGCCGCCTTACTATAAAATACAGACTGACGGCAGAAACGTGGAAACGACAGTGCCGCCTTCCTCAGTTCCCCAAAGATGCGCGCGGACTTTGTCCGGCAGCTGGCGCCGAGCATACGAGTACCTGTCGCTTCTGGCCGCATTCGTCGGAAATTATCAGGAGCTATGTGCCTGCCCTTGATGCTCCTTTGAGCGGGAGAAAGCGGACCTTTACGCGTAGAAGCGTGCCTTCACGTGGATCACTCCACTACATATGCATTTATACGCACACATGTGTATATATACGCATGTATGTACGTATTTACTAATATATACATATGCATATATAGGTATATATATATATATGTATACATGTGCGTATAGGATTTCTCCGTCGACCCAAGTCTTCGCTACAGCTTACGCAGACGGGCGCTCTCACGTTATCCGTGAAACGTGGGCCCTGACAGCATCAATGCAGGTGGGACACCCACGAAGAGCGCCAAGAAAACTGCACGAGACGTGCTCAAGCCCGAAATAGCTGGGGAAAGCACACAGCCTGCGCCTATTAGTCACAGCTGCCTATTGCTCTGGGAATGCCGTGACAAGTTCCTCTCCGGTTTTTCAGAGTCTCAGTAACACTGTTAGCAGGGCAAAGGATTGTCATAGGAAGCTGCAAGGAGTTCTGTCTTTCATTTCTTACGCTTGCATAGAATGATACCGCCGCCGGGAACCGCCGCTGAAACGGGACACAGCAAAGTCAGGTATTCAGAGGATGCTTGCATACAGAGCACTCTCGAATCGGGACAGATGAACACGTGTTTGATCACTTATCGCGGCAAAGATTGATGCCAGGTATTGGTGCACTATGCACATCACCGCATATTCTGCTCATGTACAGAGCGCACTAGAGTGGGGACAGATAAGCACGTGTATATTCTTTTTTCATCAGTTGTCGCGGAGGAGACAGACTACCGTTATGAGGGCACTATGCACACCACCGCTATAGTCTGCTTACATACAGAGCGCACTAGAGTCGGGACAGAGAAACACGTGTATACACTTTTTGCATCACTTGTCGCGGAAGAGATAGATGTCAGTCACGAGGGCACTATGCCTACCGCCGCTATATTCTGCACGCTGTTGGCGCCCCGTAGACGGCCTGTATAACCTTTCAGGTCTAGTTTGTCTACAAAGAACTTCCAGATAACACGCCAGTCCGCGTTCGAAGGAATTGTCCTCGCCCGCTGAAGAAGACGCTCATGAATGCACATGTAAGGGTACCACATCTGTATGTGTTTGTCGTACATGTGCGGTCTGCCGACTACTTAGTGGCAAGTGTGCGTAAAGAATACTCACAGACTGCTTTCTTCTTCTTATGCTTATAGACAGACACGTGCAGGCTGTCTTTCTGCCTTCTCCTGCCCTAGGTTTGTAGACAAACATCTTGCCTTTTCCTTGCCCAACATTCATAAACAGTCACGGACACGGATTTACGTGTAAAGAAATCGGAAGCAGCTGTACGCCTTCCTGAGCTCTCCTGCACGCCAGCGCCCCTCCGCTTTACCGCAGTTTCTATGCAGGCCACAAACCAGGCCGCCGCCCCTACACTGCCTCAGCGACCCTCCTTATTCTAACAAGCCTCGATGTACTTTGCAGTCAAAAGACCAGCTAGTGTGCCTCGCAGTTGGACGTAGACATCACAGCCCACGCCACTATGCCCAGTCTTATTCCGAGTTTCACGTCAGAGAAAGGGGGCGCAGCAGCGGAGGGTTGGAAGCCGCTGCAAGTGTGGTTTCGGCTGTTCTTCAGCTCCCACTGTGTAAGTGTCCACACTGACAGCATTCGCGGCAGCGCGGGGCAGGCGGCTTTACTGCAGAAGACCAGTCAACCTGTTCCTCAGCTTGATATGAATGCGACTACGTGATATGCACAGTTGGCAGGCTGGTATTCGCGGGCGACGTCTACATCGGCCGTCACAGACTTGCCACATCTACGTTTGCATGCCGTGCACAAGATGCGATGGGTGACCCCGCTGCCACGTAGGCAGCACACTGCATATACATATATGTACAGCCGAGGGAGACACCGCACCTACTCAGAATAGAAAATATCAGCCGACACATGGGCAGCAGACTGCGTACGCATGTATATAGAGCCGAGAGAGACCCCCGCACATACTTAAAATAAGGAGTCGCGGGAGGAAAATACGGCATTTGTTGTTCTCGGGCTGCCTCAGAGGTGGACGAAGAATGCGACACCACGAGCTTCCAGGGAAGTTCATGCACGTGAGCGATGTTATGGAGAAATTAAGCTCTTACGCCGCGCTTTAGGTGATGCTACGGAAAACATAAGCTCTTTAGGTGATGCACCGAGAAGATAAACTGTTAGGCCACGCTTCCCTGTCTTTGGTTTATCCTGTTGCAGCAGGTGCTTAAGCTTTCCACCTTGCCCGTTGCTTACTGTTTCTCTCTCTCTCTCTCTCTCTCTCTCTCTGTCTCTCTCTCTCTTTATACATATGTATACATATATAGATGCGTATATCTACGACTGTGTGCACACTCACGCGTACCAGGGAGAACGCCCGCTCTACTGCACAAGCATGGATACACATGCATATACACATGACAATATATATACCTATATAGAATACGCATCTTTACGTATATGGATTTACGCTTTGAAGGCGTCGCGCCCGCTGCAGTGCGCCTGTGTACGTGATGACAGACTCCTATATAAATCTGCGTATTCGTACGTACATACATATATATATATAGGAGCCTGGCACTAACCACAAGCTGAACCATCCGTTTGCGTTCCTAGCTCAACGTACATTCTGCTGGGTTGCATGCTTCGCTGAACCCGTTTCCCTGCAGAGAAGCTTCAAAGCAAGAAGCAAAATTCTCGGCAGAATGCTGACTGTGCGCACAGCAAGTATGCATCCCTGCACATCTGCCGGCATTCCTCGTCGGTCACTGGTGACTCGGTAGCGTCTCCGTCGCCATCCTGCGAATTCTTTGTCGTCTTGGCTCTCGCACTGACGCAGTCTAGCAGACCTGACGGCGGCACTGACCGGCAAAAGCAGAACAGGAAAAATGGCATAAAGAGGCCCGCCGTATAAATGCTACACTGAAAATGTTTGAGAGAAGAAGACACTATACAGAAGCTCATATGGATACGTATGATATTTTGCAGAAAACGACATTAGACAGATGCTCATATGGATGTGCATGCATGTATTCGTGAGCCTCCCGATACATGCTTAGTACACAGCTATTCAAAGGGTACGCATACACGTTTGCACAGACGGCATAGCGGAGCGATTAGAAGGAGATTTCAGTATTTTGCGCTCCGATACAAGAGGGACCTATGTAGTGCGCTCGCGGCGGGACATGTATATGTATACAGATATACATGTATATATGTCTACGTATATACATATATATATATATATATATACATATGTAGATCTATATTTGTGTATGTATATGTACGGATTCTCTGTTCTTCCTCAACGACGACACGAACAGGTTGCTCGTGGACCAGTGGTGGAGCTTGAATTTGACGTTTGTTGAAGATGTGAACCAACTGCTGGCAACAACATGTCCAGCGCTGCTTATCTCGTCTGAGCCTTCTATGTCCTTCCTCAACGACGGCACAGGCAGATTGCTAGTCAACCGATGGTAGAGCGCGAGTCTGACGTTTTCCTGAAGATGTGCAGCTGGCAACAACATGTGTAGCGCTGCTACATTTCTTGAAGTCGTTAACGAACTGCTGGCACCAACATGTCTAGGGCTGCTTATCTCGTCTGTGAGAGCCGCATGAGGGTGCGTCTGTCGCGACGCATTCATAACAGACCCGGTGCGCAGATGCACTTGGTACACGGTCACACGTGCTTAGGGGTAAGCATGTTTCCGGCACTGCGTGACCACGCACGCCCGGCGGCCGTCCTGTACAGTGTCCACAGACTGTGTCCGCCCTGCGTGAGGACAGCATCGTATACGCCGACAGAGCCATCGCTCTACCTCTTAGTTCGCGAATGTCTGACGTGAGGAGCTTTTAATAGCCGAAAGCACCCAAGAGGCGGCACGGCGGGAGCGTCCTTGAGCTATGGGGCTACCTGTGTAGTTTTACGCAGCGCTGGCTTGTATTTTTGCGTACTTACCAGGAGAGAAGGCCGAAGGACAGAAAGACACATTTAAAGATGTGTCCCTGTGAAATGTAGAAGTACGATGTTCATATACGTATGTGTGTATATATAGACATATATATATATATATGTACATGGAATGATTTCTTTGATCTCTTTCTGCATGCAGCGGCAGCTCCACGCAATCCGCTGAGAACTAGGCAGTCCGGCTGCAACCAACACTGAGTTCCTACATTTTCCAGCTTTGTACGCCCTGGCTTAAAGTTTTCTTTCAGAACTCCTATGTGAGCGTCTACCGCTACAAATTCTGCTTCAGGAGAAAGCGGCACGCGACACGTACATCCCTAGACTCTTTTTTACGTTCTCCAGACAGAAAGCCGCGCCCGTCTCAATAGCCTTACAATCTTGTTGACACTTCAAAGACACCGTCTCTTTTGCTCTTTCCTAGGCCTACCTGGGGGCGTCTGCTGCCACTGAGGAAGACCGTCTTGACAGAACTGGTTGAGGTCTGCTAGGTCCCTGAACTTCGAGAAAGTAACAACTGGAACATGCTTCCGGGTTGCTTCGTCTACGGCTCCCCTCTCAAAGCCAGGCTGTGGACAGTGCACGCGGCCGAGTCCACGAGCGGCGAAATATCTGCTCGCATCTGCTGTTCCTTGAAGGTTAGTTATGGAGAAGAAGGCTGCTGCAGTACTGGGGGAATCGCTACAAAGCGGCTCCTTCAGAAAACTGGCGAGGTCCATTAACGAGTCATATGCTTCTTCCGCTGTACATGGCTCGTCAGCGGGGTCGTAGCAGGCACATGAGGCTTCGAGCTGTACCTCTTCCTCCGCGCTATCCACGTTGACCTGGGCCCCGCCTGCCGTAGGCTCTTGCCGGGAAGCCAGGCGCTGCTGAAGCGACAACAGCGTGAGCAGCTGCTGCGGTTCCTGCTGCTGCACCAGTCGCTGTGGATTCATACCCTGAGTTGCACCGCCCTCCGTTGTGTTTTCGTGCTGCCGTGGCACCTCTTGATCTGTTTGTGCTTGCTGTATGAGCGTGGAAGTTACGGGAGTACTCCCACCACCCTCCGTTGTGTTTGCATGCTTGCGGTCTTGCAAGAATACACCCGCAGACGACGATGGAGACAACGTAGCGGAAAGCAAGGAAGGGAATCGGGAAACGGCTGACGGAGTCGAATTTGCTTGCGGTATAGCTGTGTCGGAAGGCAAATATTCTGCGATAAAGGCGGGAGCGCTGGTAGACTCCGGAGGCAGCTTCCTAGCTATCGGCAGCATCGTGAGGTAGGGAAATGCCTCAAGCGCCCCGTTGTCCGCGTTCTGTGAGGAAAGTTTCCGCGTACGAGAAAGAAAACACTTTGTTCTTGGTCCTTCAATAACATGGCATCGCAGACGACACACAGGATGCAAGGCCTTGTATATACATATATACATATATAATATATATATATATATATGTATACACGGAGTTGCAGACGACATACAGAAGCCCGGCAAAAGGCTGCCGCACAGGTAGATCTCTCAGGCGTAGATATCCAGCCACTGCTTGAAACATATACGTATGTGTACGTCGCCTGGAGAAACGCTTCTGCTTCGCGTATGAATGTGTGTGCAGCTTCCTCTGGATCAAAGATAAGTCGGACACAGAGCTACTTTCTACTGCTATCAGAAAAGCTGGGCCTGCGCTCGGCCTAACGCATTGGGTGTGGCGGGCGGTACCCCGTAGGAGCATCTCCAACCGTGACGGGCTGCGCTGTGGCACATCCAGGAGCTGAAACGCTTAAGTGGATGGTATACGTGTATCCACGCACAATTTCATATACCTATATAGATACATATATATATATATATACATATGTATATATGTATGTATATACATATACACGCAGTGATTCATAGCGACGGGATTCTAGCTTGTAGCGGCTGAGCTTCGTAAGCGTCTCAGACAGATTGTGGTCTCACGACGAAGCACTCTCTCTGTGCACGCCGAAGTCAGCTGACTGTACATATACCGCATGCCCTGTGTATCCCTGCCCTGCAGCCACAGGCAAGCTGGCTGCTCGCGCATGTGTCAGCGGCCGGTGGGAGGCCATTTTATTGCTGGGATTTATCAGTTCGATGTGTTGAAAATCGCAGGACGTTGTCTTCTGTCGCTGAGTGCCCTTTCTTCAACTATTGCGCCTGACGCCACTGCAGCGCGGGTGCGAACTCGCAGGACTCAGCCCCTGCCACGCTCTACATATATACGTATATATATACATGTACATATATGTACCTATAGAAATATATATGTATATATGTGTATATACGCATATATATACTAATATATATGGTGGAGCGCAGCCTCCCGTGTACTGCACTGACTGGATCGTAACTGCATTCTAAATAATCAAGCGAAGGGATACGTAGGACATGCGGTATATATATAGTCACATATTAGGGGATGTGAATGTACTCGTCCATATAGGGTGAGCTCTGGAGGGAGTCTTGACGCTCTACGCAGTCGTCGTTGACTACCTTTGACAATTGTGTATCCACGGCTTTCGTGGGAGCCCATCCTACTGTGACACGCTCATGCTCGTTGACAAAACGGGGTTTCTGTGATGTTCAGCATCCTGCAGCAGCAGACTCGCAGCAAGAGAGGGAAAAGCGGTACGTGTATTATCCCTACTCGTAATCTCCTCATTGGAGAAGAGGCAATCGTCCCGTGCATCCAGAGAATCTTTGAATTTCTCGGCAAAGCACCTCTCTACAGAAGTGTAGGGCATGTTGGTCTCCTGCAGAGTGGTTCTGCATTTCTCCTTCGTCTCTTCGCATTTCTCTTTGCAGGCTGCGGCTGTCACAAGGCTTGCAGGGCCGGGCGTGCTTTCAGTGCAATCTGTTCGCGCAGGTCCACAAGTAGGCGGACACTGAGGGAGACACCGCATTTTATAGACGAACATGAGCGTGTCGCCCTACGGCAAGATTTCTACGAAACCTGTTGGTAGACAATTGTCAAGGATAGCTGACTAGAGCTTTTAGACCTTCTCCAGAGCTCAGTATATATACACAAGGACCTTCACACCCTATAATATACGACTATATACACACCGCATGGACAAGAGCAGCCCGTCCTCTCTGCTGACATGTCCGGCAGCCAGAGTTGCAGACAGAGCCGCATTTGACACGTTTGACACTCGCCAGAATGCCACGCGGTTATCCCTTTACATCAGTCTGCGTTCGAGTGTCGCAGCGGCATCAACAAGACATACATGGCTCTTTTTGTAAGCTGACTTTGATTACGCATGAAGTGCACCGTCGAAACATAGGCAGCAGCTGTGCACGCAAGCCCGTACGAGCGCGTCTGCAGCAGAGTACAAAAATATATGTGTACATATACATATAATTATACCTATGCATTGCTGCGCTTGTAACCGCACCGTGAAGTGCGCCATCAACACATGCGCAGCGATTCGTGTGTACGAAAATTGTGCGCGATTTATTGCACCGTATATACATATATATATGCGGGGCTCTTAATGTACACTGACCTTAGATTTGCAGACAATGCCCGGACAACACACACGCAGCACGTCGCGCGCACCCTCTAGTGAGCTCTGAAGACCGCCCAGATCACCATTGTGCAGTAGAGACAGACCAACAGCAGCCGATGTGCTGCTGTTCGGTACCTAACGCCACTTTTTGGTAAAACCACCTAGTGCGCTGTACAAAAAGCCCTTACTAGCACCTGCTAACATGTAGATATGAATGCACACGTATGCGCGTAGAGGAGGGTACGACCTTTGCCTCTATCCAAACATCCTTCTATCTCCATATAGACATACACGTACAGAACTGTTCTGCACTTCTGGTGACGTGCCAGTACAGAAACGCTGCGCCCCACCCCAGGTGACTAAGACGCTGCGTTCATCACTTCCTTTACCAGCACTGGAACGAAAAACAAATTGTGTGCGTAATGTGACCAGTGGTAGGGCACACGGCTTACTGTAAGCAGGTACTAAGGACATGTAAGGAGCTGTCCTGCCCGCATGGAGCGCAATTGCACGTATTTACTCGTGGCCAGACGGCTCATTTTGCTGACAGATATTTATAAGACACTTAAGGGGCTGTTCTGCCTGCATAGAGCACCATTAGGCGTATCTACTCGTGACTTCAGAATGCACTTGCAAGCACCTGTTTACAGCGGAATACCGCGGAAAAAACGGCAGCAGCAGCAGCAGATCAGAAGTATGTCTTACATATATATATATATATATATATATGCGTATATGTGCAACTTTGCAGTCTAGGCTTCTCAGCCCCTGATACAGTGAGCACTCCTAGCGGGCGATGCATAGAAAACCGCACCGGCAGTAGTAGTAGCAGTAGCAGTAGTAGTCTTATTTGATCTCCTCAGTCTTTGTGTTTCCATACTACTACGGGGGGGATAATTTCTGCGAGGACTTTTCTTCTGGCTTCACGGTGACTGACCGAAGGAAACATACGGGCAAGGGCTCAAGCCTGGACAGACGGATACACCGCGATCGTCGTCGAAAGCTGCAAAGGGCGGAGGCAACGCGCAGGGTTTACAGCAACAGCCACACAGTATGTTGAAGGTAAGAGACACAAATTCACAACACGCTGCTGCTGATCTGGCGCTGTTCATATTCTCTCTGCAAACAGGAAATACGTACAGTACGTTGAAGGTAACAAACCTAATTTCCCAACGCCATGCTGATGCTGACTTGGCGCTGCTGTTTATACTTTATTAGCAGACAAGAAACCCTGGACGCACTCCCGAAAGACATTCGAAGCCAAGAAGCACCTGTCACGTGGGAGCATTCCTATCAGTGCAGCCACGGATCACCGGTGTCCCTCTGCACGCCCCCGGGAAGAGAGAGTACTGTAACATGTTGTGCAACGGCTACTGTGTACAATTGACGCGATCGTCTT